ATATTGAATTTGATTATAGTTTTGCAATATTTTAGGTCTGTTACATTTATGTAGTCTATAGCAAACATATGTGGGATATTTGTAGAGTCCATAGAGAACAAGTTGGTAACATAAAGTAAATCACACAAACTGCAAACACCCTCTTGCTCTTTTCCTCTATATCTTGGGGAGTTTAAGAAATTTCAAGGTAAGAATGCTTTACCTGTTCTCTGTGAATTGAAATATACCCTAGCCTCAATTTTCACTTTCTTTAAGTGGTTATTCTTACCTTATTTCTTGAGTGGTATGTTTATGTTTATGTTGAAAGCCCTATAGTCAAGGGATATATCATATTTAACATAAATGGCAATAGAACTGCCCAAGCAATGCATGTTTATATAGACACAGTGGATAAACAAATAACTGGTGTGATATTAAGCTGTATTTTCCTCTGGCTTTCTGTTGATAGTATTGAATTACCAAAACAGTGTGATTTATGTTTTGTGATACTTTGCATCAGCAAATGAGCATATATTAGATGCTTAGAAAATGCTTTGCTATGAATTGATGTCCTTCACTGTTTGTTTTCATTTATATGTATTGTGGGCAATTTTAGTCTTTTTCTGTTCTTCTTTTCAAAAAGAATAAAAAAATTTATTGTCATCTTGTTTCTATGTTCTATTGTGGACTATCAGTGCTATTCTTCATTTAACAGGAAAGGAATGTCCAGGTGTGGTGGCTCAAGCCTGTGATCCTAACACTCTGGGAAGCAGAGACTGGTAGATCACTTGAGCTCAGGAGTTTGAGACCAGCCTAAGCAAGAGAAAGAACCCATCTCTAGTAAAAATAGAAAAATTAGTGGAACATGATGATGTGTGCCTGTAGTTTAAGCTACTAGTGAAACTGTGCCAGGAGGATCAGTTGGGGCCAGGAGTTGGAGGTTGCAGTGAGCTCTGATGATGCCGATGATCCCAATGATGCCATTGCATTCTACCCAGGGCGAGAGAGTAAGACTCTCTCTCACTCAAAACATGACATAAACTAAAAAACAAATGTTCTAAAAATCTGCAACGATAACCTTACAGTGGAATTAATAGGCTGATACAGACATTGTTATCTTTAAGCCTCTGATAGTAAAGTTCCATATTTGTATTATAGAAGAGAGCTACCGCTCTTCATCTATAAGAAAGTGAGCTTACAAGGAACATGAATAAAGATTATATTTGCAGAGTCTATTTATTTGACAGTACTGTCAAGTGATAATGTTTGTTAGGTACAGTTGTCTTTCAGTATAGGAGCGGTATTGATTTCAGAACCCTGCCCCAACAATATACCAAATCTGTACATACTCAAGTCCTGCAGTCAGCTTTGTGAAACCTGCCCTTCGGGTGCATAGGTTTTGCATCCGATGAATACTGTATTTTCTGTTTTTGTTTAGACATAGGGTCTCACTGTTGCCCAGGAGGGAGTGCAGTGGTGCAGTTATAGCTCACTGCAGCCTTGATGCTGGGTTCAGGTGATCCTCCTACCTTGGCCTCCCAGATAACTGGGACTACAGCTGTACTTTCCACCATTCCAGGCTCATTTTCTTTCTAAAGTTTTTTTTTGAGATATGGTCTTAATATGTTGCTCAGGCTAGTCTTGGACCCCTCAAGTCATTCTCCCTTATTCAACCTTCTGAGGATAGCTGGGATTAGGGGCACATGCCACTGGTCCAACAATATTGGTTTTTGTTTGGCAGAGGTTGGGTTTTGTGGGGGGGCGGTTTAAGGCAGAGTCTCATTCTGTTGCCCAGCTTTAGTACAATGGTGTCATCATAGCTTATTACAACCTCAAACTGCCAGGTTCAATGATCCTCCCACTCTGCCTCCCAGAGTACTAGCATTATAGGCATGAGACACTGCTTCTAGCCAGTGCTGTATTTTTGATCCCTATTTGTTTGAAAAATATCTGTGTATAAGTAGACCTACGCAATTCAAACCTGTGTGGTGCAAAGGTTAATTGTATTTACTTCGTGCCAGAAGCTGGGGAAACTCCAAAGGAGAGGCATGTTTTCTAGGAAATTTTAAAATTTTGTTTCAAATAACAATGTTTTAGTGAGAACTGAGCTTATCTTTTGCTGGCACTGTCAGTTTTCTCACCTATAGAATGGGGATGATAAAAAATTCATGAAGTTCTTGGGAGGAGAAAATAAGATAGTACATGTAAAGAACTCCTCCTAGGGTCTGGCTCCTAATAAGCGCTCAGTATATGTGCACTGTTATTTACTGTGAGGCTCATTCACAGTTAACCTCTTAACTATTTATTTTCCTCTTTCTCCCTTGTTCTTATTCTCCATGTTGTTATCAGAGCTACGTTTCTAAAACACAAATCTGATTATTTAACACGCCCTTTTTAATACCATCTTCTCAGTTTTAAAAACTGTTAGTGGTCTCCTGTTGTCTGAAAAAGAAAGCCTCAAAAGCATGGATGGCATTTAGCACCTTACCATCTGTACTCCAAACTTAGCCTTAACAAACAAACTGATGACCATAACTGATGACCTTCTTAACAAACCATCTTCTCTCTTGACCACCCACTGGTCTGCAGCCCAAATAGGCCACACACTGTTGTATTTTTTCTGCCTTGGCTTATACTCTCCCTTCTCCCTCGAATTCCCTCTGTACGCTTTACGCCTTCTTGCCATCTTTACCCTGAAAAAACAATTATCTATGAGCAACTCAGATTTCTCATATTTTTAGGCAGAATTTTTGGTTCTTGTTTACTCATCTCTCTTTAGCATTAGTATGATGAGTAAATTACATACGTCTTACTCTCCCACTAACTTGTAAGTTCCTTCAGAGGAAGTTATCACTTATCATTTTATAACTTATCACTTTAACTTTGAACGTTATTTCCAGAGGATATAACTTATCACTTTATCACTGGATGTTAGTAGATATCCAGTAAAAACTTTTTGAAATAATATATTAAAATCTGGTTTGATTTTATTTTGATTTCAATGTGTTTTTATTCTAGGTTCTTGGTCTTGTCCAAAACATGAGTGTTTTCCAGTGTCCAAAATGTAAACACAAAACTCATATTTTTGGTGCTGATGGTGCAAGGAAACTGGCACGGACCCTGGGTCTTGACATCCTAGGTAAGACTATAACGTATTCTCTCATAGAGGAGGTGGCAGAAGGGAAAGTAGGGATGAGGCTTGGTGATTAAGAGTGCCTCAGGAAAATTATGAGTTGCTTTTGGCTTTGTATTTTAAATTAATATAACACAATTCTGTGTGCTAACCTTTCTTTGGCTTTTTGAGCAAGTTTTGTTTTGCCAACTATGATAATAATTTCTACTGTAGATTAAAACTTCTTACAACTTAAATTTAAGGAGAAAGTTTTGTGCTCTGAAGACTGTGATTTGAAGCCATATTTTGAATTGTGGTCATTAGTTTGTTTGTTAAGGCGAAGTTTGGAGTACATCTCTCAGTATAGACAGGTATACATGAAAATACCTGTTCAATGTGTTGTAGGAACTCTGAAAGTTTCATTCTTGGTGCATACATAAAAAAGGATTCCTGATTAGTTACATATTTGTTAGAACTTCTGCTTTAGATATGACATTATTTACCATTTTCTGTAATCTTTATGTGTTTGACATGTCTGTAAAATATGGCACCTGAAACTTACGTTGTATACAACAGTGCACAGCACTGAAATGAAGAATTAATTAATGCTGTGAGGAAAACTAATCTTCTCTCTTGACCACCCACTGGTCTGCAGCAAGTGTTAAGTGAGCAAAATATCCCACAAGCACCTTAATAGACTTTTTAGAAAACATGTTTTAATATTGTAATCGTGAATGAGTTCCTCTTCTTGGCAAAGGCAGATGTTAGATGCCATATAAGGGAAGTATAGAGTGAATTATTAATTTTAGGTAGTTAAAAATTAAGATCGCCTAAGGATCAAGGGATTTCAAAACATTCTCTGTTATAATTCAGTTTCTAAAAGTTGATGTTAAATATATTATTATTACTCATTTTCATGATAGCAGCCAAAAAAAAACCAGGTGAATACTAATGATGGATTTTGATCCATTGCTGTAATTATAGCCATTAATTATATTCTGCAACTGTTTTTCATTTAACTAACCTAGAAAGTTCAAGTTTTCAAATCTGCATAATAACATAATAGACTGACATTCACATACATAATAAAGTAAATGGGTAATTATAATGGCATTATTGAATTAAACTGACAACCTTATAATTTCCCTAACTTAACAAATGGGTGGTACAATCTCATAAGTCAATTATTTACAATTTGAAATATCTCATAGAGAAACAATCTCACATATTGAATTTATATTTTAATCAACAACTCACATAGGTACAGTTACCCTAAAAATGTATCAGAAACACTGATCATAGATCACAAAAACTGGATAGTGCTATATAGACTGTTGTGTTTAACAGCGTTATGGGAAAAATAGCACAGAGTTCCATCTCAGAACACTCCTTTTAATGTAGTTATGAGGTTTCAGAGGGGTCTCCCATGAAGTGGAGCAGGGGCTCCAATTATGAAGAGTTTGGAATTGGGAATGAGGGACTGAAGTCAGGAAACGAACTTTCTCAGCTATGGCCACTTGATTGATTGGACCCCCCCCAGGAACCCTTATTTTCCTTTCACTGACTTGCTGGCAGACTCTTTATTTTCATTCACTGGATTATGTTTTAAATAATTATTTGGCACAAAAGCACTTCAGAACCTTATCTATATTTATCTGCAGGAACAGTTTATGCAGAATAGTTAAGGTCTCAGACAATTTCACAGAAAACCCTTTAGCCCATTATGTGTCTGAAATGTGCCCTCACTTCTTTCATATCTAACCCCTCAAAGGTATTCTTCATACCCAGGCTGTTCCTCACTCCTGTCCATACCTTTACTCTTTTTATTCCCTCTCTAGATACAATCTTTAATCCACTACCATTCTTATGCCACCTGTTTTTAACAAAGTTTTTCTCTTTCCTGATCTATTCTTCTGTGCCTATAGGTAAGATTGTGAGTCCCTTGAGGGGCAGAAGTGATGTCAGTGATGTCTGTATAAAGAAGGCTTTACTTTTTTCCCCTTCCATTTCTACAGTAGAAAAAAAATTATTCAGAATTCCTTACCATTATGGCAGTTCATAAATCAAGAGAAAAAACTTCATGTATTTCTAAGCATTTTCTGTAATTTATTTTTCTCTGCCTGCCCCATGGACAGTTGCCTACTACAGTCTTAAGTTAATCTATAGAATAGACATCATATTTACTGAAAAGCTGATCTTTAAATGGCTGCTGAAATATCCATGTATTTTATCATTTGGCCCTTGGACTTATGAGGAAAGACTTAGAGTTGATTAAGATCTGAAAATTTACTGACAAGAGGAGCCGGAAATGCACATTCCTCTTCTGTGTACTTCCTAATATAAATTGTGTTAGAACATATACTTCTGCATTATTTACATTGCCTGGCATGGTACTGAATTATTTATTTGAATAAAACACACACATATACACACACATTTCGATAACTTCTGCATGGATTTGGAATAGTTCTGAGAGTGTTGAGTCGACTCTTCCACTTTAGACATCATTTATTGCATTTTACATCTCGGCCTTTGAGAGACTTTATTTGTGATAGTGTGGTAGAAACAGTATATTGAACAAAGCATCAGAGCATCTTGCTTCTATATTGTCCCTCCTAATAGTAGTATGTCCTCAGGAAAGACATATGACTTCTTTAACTTCAGTCTGTGTATTAGAGGTTGTCATTATATCACTTACTGACACCTCACCAAACTCACAAGTTATATATAATGAGATGCAGATCAGTAAATACTAATAATAGAAAAATAATCCTATCTGATGAAGAGGAAGATAGTTATGATAACAGGTCTGGCCTATTTTTCAACAATTCTCTGTGGTCACTCATCTGCCAACATTGGGGATATTCATTTGTGGTATTTTTCGGACTACTTTGCCTCTCCATCTTTTCCTCTTCAATTGCCTCTTGTTATTTGGCATGTTGTGTCTATACCATATTTTATAGAGAGGAATCACTTACAAATAATCACTTTCAAGCCATTTCTTGCTTGAAGAGCTCCAGCAAAGACTAAATTAGAGGTCTTGTCTCTTCATTGTCTGCCATATGGCTTTTCTATCATAAAACAATCATTGTACTTACTACCCTTAAGTGGAATATTCTGCCCCTAATTTTTGTTTGACTTTTTTCCCAAAGATTTAGTAATTTGAAGATAGTCACAACTTGAGTTGATTGCACTCACTTCATTCAGATGTTGATTCTTTCTAAAATTCAAATAATGGAATTCCAAATGCCTATATAAATTTTTCTGGTGCTAATGGATATGTGATGGGCTCTTTTAGGAGACATTCCCTTACACCTTAATATAAGAGAAGCTTCAGATGCAGGCCAGCCAATTGTGTTTTCACAGCCTGACAGTGATGAGGTAAGTCACATTTTTAGATATGTATCTTTATCCTTTTTTAGGATATGTACTATTTGATATACAGGGAAAAATTGTAAAGATTAAGCTTATCTGTTTGTAGTACATGCATATAAACAAGGATTGGTTAACATGAACAAAACATCTGTAGGTTACTATCATGCGATAAAGTGCCAGTGCTGACTCTGAACTATGAGCTGATTAAGTTTATCTAAAGAGAATCATCACCCAATCAGTTTTTCATGAAGAGCATGAACAATGAGAATTTGAGAAACTCTTACCTTGCTGGGTAGCATATCTAACTGCCCAAGGTTCTTATATTCACTACTAGAAGTTCAGCTAATGATTGGGAGGAGGGAACTCGTTGAGTTGGATATAGAGTAATTGTATAAGCCACTAGAGATGGAATTGTCATTGCATTTATTTTAATAAATACAATTAGGGAGGAAGGGTAGAAAGACTAGTAGTGTTTCATTAGCCAGTATCATTGGGTGTACAACTGATAGGTTTTCAAAGTTGCTAAAACATAAAATGTTTTATTTTTATCTTTTTTAATAGAAATAAAATCACATTTCTTTTTTCCTAAGGTGAACTTGCTATTTAACTTAGAAACTGAACCATCTTTTGAGACATCAGTTTTGATGTAGTTTTTATGTTCCTTTGATGAACAGCCTCAATCAATTTTCTAATAGTTTTTATTTTTTCTTAACTAAATGGGTTTAAGTTTATAGCCCTGTTGTTTTGTCTATTCATAACTACTATCCCTTTTATTCTAGTTTGCTTCCTTTAATTTTCTGTGAACCAGAAAATAGAAGAGCCAAACTTGATTAAATCTATTATATAAGAGAATATTAATAGTCAGGAATCTTAGATAAGTAGGGTAGATTCATTTTAAGTTATCTTTTGGGAACCCAGAGGTCCTTTTCCTTTTTTTTTTCTTTTGTTAAATAGCTGAAGAAAATAAAAAATATGGAACTCTTCACGAATTTGCATGTCATCCTTGCACAGAGGCCATGCTATCTTCTCTGTATCCATCCAACTTTACGATATGTGCTGCTGAAGCAGGCACTCCCTTTTCTTTCTTAAGGATTGGCAGTTATGGTACCAGTGATTAAGTTGCTGGCAATGTGATGTCTGAGTGAATATAATGTAGCAGTTACTATGGTGTTTCTTTTATTTGCCTTTTGGGTATTAAATGTTGAGGTTCTTTTTCAGTCTTTCTTAGAAATTTTGCAGATAAGCAGAAACCACAATCCCTTATTATTTTTGTAATTAAAGTCTGTTAATTCCATTTACCATAGTATGCTTATACAGTAAATGAGAAATTGAGGGTTGTTTTAAAAAAATTATACACTTTTAAATGTCTCCTGAAAACAAACTATTTAAAGACATTCCATAGTGATTCCTAGTGAATAAGAATACTTACTGGTTACTTGCTAGCTTATTTCAATTATTAGGTTAGATTTTTAATATTTTTTAACCTCCATTATTGTTTTTGCAAACTCCATTATTGTTTTTTCTTTGAAATTCTGCAAGAGTATAAAATATTTCATTAGAGTTATAGGAATATAATATAACAGAGAACATATAGCAACCATCCAAAGATATTATAGTTTAAAACTCTAAACATTTGTTTAGAGTTCATTGAGTTTTTTAGAATTATATGTCTTTATAATCTGCTCTACATTCACATAAATATCAGACCAAATGTTTTGCTATTGCTGGGTAACATTTCTGAGAGTCTTAGGATAGCCTAAACTTTTGTGGTTTGGGCTAGACTTGATTTGTTGATGTCTCTATGTGCCACATCATAAGTCTTAAATATGCAGATTTCTGATCAATTTTAAGATTTAGATATGGCCATGAAGCGGGAAAATGATATCTTATATTTTGTTTTCTTTCCATGGAAGATATTACTTCCTATTCTTAGATTACAGACATTCATTATTATTAATCATCTTCCTAATAAAACTAGCAATTGCTGTGTATCAGACACTGTCAGACATTTTTTTAACATTACTTCTGTCCTCACAATAACTTAATATTATATATACATAGATAGTCCCCATATTTTAGATGAGGAAACGAAGGCTCAAGAAGGTTAAAAAAATTTTCCCAGGGTCACAAGACTATTAAATGGTAAGAAGTGATTAAAAGACAAATCTGTACTTTCCAGATGTGCCTCTTTCCATTATATCATTTTCTGGGTCCTATACAAATAGTTCTGATTTCTTTAATTCTTGCTGAGAGACTGGTGCAGTGCTAAGGTACATTGACTACATTGCCTTATTTGATTCTTATGGCTTCTCTGAGATAGGTGTAATAGTCTGTATTTTTTCAAATGAAGAAGCAGAAATGTAAAAGGAGTTCCTTCATTTACATTAAGGGACTTATCCAAGTAGTACTAGAGGTTAGTTCCACACCATAGCCTATGTATTCTCTTCCCAATGCAGTTGATCTGCTTCACTTACTAATTAATTACAAGGTTAGTGCAGTGTCTACCTATTGTGTGTAAATGGTAGCTTTCTATTCAACTCCTTTTCATAATATCACAAAGATGTAGAGAAAAAAGTGAGGAGGCTGCTGCTCAGATTTGGTTGGGCATCTACAGCTGTAGGTCACAATACCGAGAATCCTAACCTGGGTCTGGGAATCCCCTGAAATTAAATCTAGAATGTGTGAAAGTGCATTTTTTCAAGGAATTGGCCAAGAGCTTTGTTAGATTCTCAAATGGGGTCTCCACATGGAAAGAAAAGCATGAAATCTGAGTCAGTGTGATGGTTCATTACCAGGTTGCCACTTTCTAAGTGTGACCTTAAGCAAGTGCTCTAACCTCCATGAACCTTTCTCTCATTGTATAAATTGATTTCATAATGAAGAGAATTAAATAATGATGTGAAAATACTTTGAAAAATGCCAGATAGAATGCAACTGTATTTATTGCCTTCTGAATCTTCCTGTATAAGATATTAAGACACTAAATGTCTTTACTTTTCCTTTTATTAGAGTACTGAGTGCACTTATGCCCTTGACATAGCATCAAGTAAATATAGCTCTTTAATGGCATTTTAAAAATCAGGGTAGCAGAATTTGAATCATGAGATGAGAGTAGAATCCCCAGGTTCAGTGTTAAAGACATTAACCCCTAGACATTAGAAAGCTGTTACTGAGTCCTAGAATCCAGGTCCTTCTGGTTAGTCTTGTGATGACTCTTGCCTCCTGATAACCTTCTTCCCTTTTCCCCTGTGAACTCAAATGGAAATGTGCTTTCAGAAACTAGTCTCAACTCTCAACAGATCCTGTTGTATTCTTGGAAGCTTAATTCCCATTCCACTTTATATGAAGAATGGAGAAATTCTTTTAAAGAATGAAGGAAGTGTTTATTTGCTAAGATGATAAAACTGCACAGTTAATGGGATAGAACCTATAATCTTAATTGTTAATCATTAACACTTTAGACTGACACTTTTTACTGTTTTCTTGTAGAGGTTAACCCATAGGCAAAATTATTAATCAGTAAACATTTTATCTTTAGCTTTTTGTCTTCCTCCTTATTCCACTTTCTCTTTCCCATATTCTATCCTCCCTCCTCCCAATACCAGGTGTTAGATCTCTCCTTCTGTGCCCATAAAATCCTTTAACTTAGGTGCAAGGGATTTAAGTCTCCTGACATTTAAGTTCCAGAAGAAGCAAACACTAAAAAGGTAATAATTAAAGTTATGAATTGTAATAACTGTAAGGCATCGTTGGAAAAGTTGGAAGGGCTTTTGGTACCAATTAAAGAGCACTGGCAGGCTGCTGCCTACTCAGTCAGTGGGTACAACCTCTGCACTTTCCACTTAGGAAAAGAGTAACTGAAACTTCAAATGTGAGTAATGTAAAATAGACAGAGAAAGCATAGAGGAAGGAAAACAAGGTGATGACTAGAATTCAGAATTCTTGAATTCAGTAGCATCGCCTCATGCTGGTGTGATTACAATTGTTGATTTGACTAACACTACCTTTTGCCCTTGATTGAGACCAAAACACAAGGAGTGGACCCATCACTGGCCAGTAATTTTGTGACTTTTATCCTTTTTATCAAAGAAAAATATTAACTACAGAAATATGTGCTATGAAATATTCATGGTAAAGACTTTCAAGTATAAGTAGCAACTTTATTATCTTACAATTTCTAAATTATCACCTCAGAGCCTTACTATCAACTGGCCATGTATGATAAATTAGAACTTAAAATATTTAAAAACAAAGGCAAATTCTCATAAAACTTGTTGAACTTTGAATGAACCATTCATTCCTTATTGCCTGTTAATAACAGAGCAGATAGGCGGTGGCCATGGCTCAAGGAGTAGGGCGCCGGCCCCATATGCCAGAGGTGGCGGGTTCAAACCCTGCTCCGGCCAAAAAAAAAAAAAAAAAAAAAAAAAACCAGAGCAGATAAATAGGGTCCAGCTGTATTATCTGTGCCTCTAGAAGACCTAACAAAAAGATCTAGAATAGGAGAGGGAGTTGAGGCAACTTGATGAAAGAATAGAGAATCAATAGTTTGAGAAATCTCATTCATATCTTTTACATGTGATGCATATGTGTTACCTTTTTGCTAGTCACAGATTAAACAAAATAGAGGGATTTAATTTAATTATTCCTCAGGTGAGAAAAGTGCCCTATACACATGTTCATATGAGCTCTTCAATAAGATTGTAGATTTCCCAAGGCCATAATAATAATAGCAGCAGCTACTAAAGTTTATTATTTGCTTCCTCTGAACCAGCCTTTCACATGCCTTATTTTACATAATACTCCCCCAAATCTTTTGAGATCAGTACTATTATGACAATCTTACAAATGTGGAAACTGAGCCTAGGAGTTTGCCCAAAGCCTTACATCTAATAAGTAATGAAGACAAGAGTCTCTAAATCATGCCTGTCTGACTACAAAGCCCCAACTCTTTGCCAGTGAGTGATTCTGCCCCCTTTTTATATCATTACCAGTCACAGATTTCCCAACCCAATGCCTTGCATGCAGTAAGAACCAAATTGCATTTGTTGAAATGATATTGCATAAATTGTTTAGAAATTGAAACTGTTAATCTGAGTACTTTTGTGGTTTCTCAGCAAATGACAATCTATTACTTTGAATGTGTTATATTGAAAGTCTAACCTTGGAGTTAGACCATTAAAAAGCCAAGGTTAAATACAGCACATTTGATTATTCTGGAATCATTCAGTTCTTTTTGTATTCTGATAGGTTTATATCGCTAATGTAGGTAGTACTAAAAGATTATAGAGTTATGGCCTTGACCCAGCTTTTTTAGTGAACTTTAAATTTTCAACACAAAGTAGACAGAAATACCTAGAAAAGCTACTAGGAGATAAAAGGTATTTATAAAGATGCTGGGCGAAAATCAACGTGTTAGGTTCAAGAGAAATATTTCTTTAAGTACAAGGTATTTCCATTTTTAAGAAAACTGTTTTTGTTAACTATAGCAGAGATTGAAATTATTTTTAGACTATGTATTAATGATTATAATTACTTGTGCTTTGAGTTTGCTGTTTAACATCTGGTGTTGTGGAGCGAGACCTGGACTTTAGAGTCAATTGGATTCAGGTTTGAATGTTTTCCTGCCTACTCAATTCATGACCCTGACCAAGTTGAGCTGATGATACTTGTTCTGTGTGATTAAGTAAGATTATTTACATGAAGTACTTTGTATAGTAGGTACTCAATAAAAAATTTAAAGACTTATTCATGTTTTGAGAGCTTTTGTTATTTTAAAGGACTCTAAATTTTAATTTTTTTACTTTTATGGCAAAATAGAATGTGGTTCAGCTGTTAGGGCTCAAATATAGTCTTTAAAAATGAAGCTGTGTGAAACACACTACAGCATTGCATCACGTTAGGGCAAACAGGCCATAAACATCTCTTTTTACCATACAGTGTCTAGGAGTTGGTCAGCCTGAGTTTAAAGCCCAGCTTATTTCTTACTGGCTATAATGGTTTGGACAAGATTCTTCATGTTTTGGGGTCTTGGTCTCATCTATAAAGAGAGGATAATGGCAGAATTTACCCCCTGTAGTGACTTTGAGGCAAATGAAATAATATTTGGCAAACGTTAAGTACTCAGTAAATTTTAGCTATTATCATTAGTACTAGTAGTACATATATAACTGTAAGTGTATCAGTATTGAAATTAATGATTTTAGAAAATCTTACTTTGTATTCCATAGCTCCTTTTTATGAAAAGTTCGGAGAAATAAGTAATATTTGCATTACAGTATTTAAAAGAACTCTTAAAATGCAAATATCATGACCAGTGTTTTAACTGAAACCTATGGGTCTTAGGTTAGTTTGTGGCTTACTCCACGGTTTGGGAGCTGATTTTAGTGTTCCATGGCAGTAGGGATTCCACATGTACAGAGTGTGACAACTTGCATGATACTCAGAATTTACCAGGTGAAGGAGCTATATAGGTGTTTGGTGCTAGTATCACACACTGTTGTTCTCAGAATGAGGAAGAAAAACTTTCCAAAGTTAAACCATAGGGTAGTAATAAATAGTCTTCCTTAAAATGACTAACAGCTCTTATGCCAAAGAAGTTTTGGCAGCATCTAACTAAGGATATCAATTTGTCAGAAAAGGAAGGTGTAATTTTTCTGCAACTAGTCTGGGATGCTAGTTTGCTAACATCAGGATTAGAGTTGGAAAAACAGTGAGTGCCAGTACTAAATATTATTTCAAAAAGTCACTTTCCAAGTAATTACCCTTCAGATAATCTAAAATCCCTTCTCCCCCGCCCCACTTGGAGTATACATAGCATTCATTATCATCTCACTACTAAATTTCCTCATCTCACTCAGCCATTTTACTGTCAACTACAGTAGGCATTGATGGCAAACAGTACATGAGTCATTCCGTGTCTGCTGGGGAGAAACACAGAACAAATGAGTCTGTTCTTTTCCAGGCCAAAGCGTACCTGAAGATTGCTGTAGAAGTGGTAAGAAGATTGCCACCACCTCCAGAATGATTCCCCAAGTGTCCTGGAAATTTTCCTGGTACTGAAAATAAGAGGACCTTTGGAAATCAGCAGTGTGGTAGTGACACCTACAGAAATAATAGCAATCATAATTGTTTTATTTCAAAGGAAATAATATCTTGTTTTAGATTTGATTTGCTAAGCTATGACTCACAAAATTTTGTGTTTCAATGCTATCTGCTATATTTAGGAATATTTTTGAAAGCTAATATATACCACCTGTGCAGAACTGCATTTTATTTTTATTGAATTACCTCTGAGGAATCATGAGTTTGTGATGTTGCAAGCCCAGTTGGTGACAGAGGGCACTCTTTTTTCAGGACCATGGAGTTAGTCAATTATAAAAGATTCACTAAATTTGTGTATAGACATAAAAGTATGACAGCTTCCCAACAGGAAATTTGGTGTGGCTTTGAATCCTGTTTTTAGTCCTATCTTGGACATGTTCTTAATCTGAAGGAACCTCTGCTGCTTCACTGGATCAACCCCAGACTAAGTGAATCTGAATCTCCAGAGGTGGAGCCTGGACATGGGTGTTTTTAATAAGATCGTGATGCTGTTGATGATGATACTATTATAATGGCAAAAATAATAATAGCCAACTTATAAAGTACTTTCTGTGTGTCTTTATAGATAATCTTCCATTTGTATGAAAGGAATGCTATCTCTGCCATTTACTATATATACATATATTTATAGATAATCTTCCATTTGTATGAGAGGAATGCATATATCTGCCATTCACAGAGGAGGAAACTGAGGCATAAGAAGGTTCAGTGTCTTCCTGAGTGAGGGTCAATGTATCCAGCCAGTGATGGAGCTACGATTTGAACTTGAGTAGTTGGATATCAGATTCCTCCTTTTCCACACCAATCTACATTTGTTAATTTCAAAATTAAAAAAAAAAAAGGTGGGGGAAGGGATTTAGCTTTTCCTTAAACTTACTTGGCCATGAAATCCATCTCCTTTTTTAGAAGCATTCAATGAAATTTATGTTTCAAAAAATGTACTTTTACAAATATATATCTTGTCTAATTTAAGCCCAGAGACAGAGAGACAACTACTTGCAAGGTCAGGTAGTAGATAGTTACAAAGCTGTAAGTACTGATAAGCGTCAGTTATAAGGAAATAGTCTCTTACCTCTGGCAAATGCCTTGATGTCTTTTGCACTAAAGTTATTAGCCAGAACATTAGGCAAAGAGTTAGACATCATTCTAAACATATTTTTACACAAATACCTATAAATGGATGTTTATAGCAGCTTTATGTGTAATAATCAAAATCTCAGGGATTTTCTTTGATAGGCAAATGGTTAAACAAACTGTGCTGTATCCAACCATGAAATACTACTCAGTGATGAAAAAGAGAAAAACTATGGATACATGGAACCACCTGGAAGAATTCCAGAGAATTGTAGTGAGTGAAAAATCCGATCTCAAAAGTTATGTACCATATGATTCCATTTATATAACATTCTTGAAATGACAGAATTATAGAAATGGAGAACAGATTAATGCTAGATGTGTTAAAGAAGATGTGAGGTTGGGAGGGAATCAGGTGTAGCTATAAAAGCAACATGAGGAATACTTGTGATGATGGAAATGTGTCCCGACTTTCCCAACATCAGTATCTTAATTATTATATTGTACTATAGTCTTGCAAGATCTTACCACTGGGGGAAATTGGATAAAGGGTATACGGAATCTCTGTATTATATTTTACAACTGCATGCAAATCTACAATTATCTTAAAACAAAAAATAAACATTTAAAAAACTGTACTGCTACATCTGAACTGAAACTTTCTGTATAAAAATTATCTATACTGATAAATATCATGAATAAAATTCTTTGTGGACACACACAATAATTATCACTTGTCATTCTGAGAAGGAAATAATGGCTTAGAGTTGTAGATGTTT